CGGACGGGAGGACCAGGAGCACCAGGTTTCTGGGCTCTGTCCCTGGACTGAGATCGTTCGTAAAAGTCCTTGTGCATATTGACCTGATTCTTACGAACCCTCCAGCGGTCAATTTCGTTCTTACAACGAGCACGAAGCCATTCATAGCTACAAACATCAGGGTTGGATATGTTCCTATCCCATTCCCTGATATCATGAGCCAAACAGTTGAGGTGTCTAACCTTCTCACTGAATAGCGACCGCTTAACTTGCTCGGTCAGCGGTTCATCGAGACCCGCAAGGATGTGATCCCACTTCGCGATGAACCTTTCAAGTCGCTCCTCTTCAGTATAGAAAGATGAAACACTGCATCGCAAGTTTGAGAGCTCAATTATCCTGAATGATTGCTCTCCGATATTTGCAGTCCTTAAGTGGTCGTATAAGAGCCACAGGATCTGCCTACTCTTGATGCGATTGTTGGAACGTTGAGCGGCTTCGGTGAGACGATTAATCTTATCGATAATTGCAACAGTCTTGATGCACTTCCGAATGGCTGCATTGAACCTGGCTTCAAGGATGTGGTATTTACATTCCCCATCCAGTTCATCAAAGGTCTTTGCCTTCTCGACTTCAGTTAGCCAATTGATGACGTAAAGTCCATCATAGCTGTAGGCATTGCTAACAGCTTCCTTCATATTGGCTATCCATACCCTCAGCCCAGCCGCGTCGGGCTCTGGCGGGAGGTCTATGGGAATGCACTTAGTCGCAGCTGTACAGTTCGGATCATGGTGGCTACTGTACCCGCCACCACCACCAGTTCCGAAAAGATGCTGTGGAACCTGAGAACTACCGATTGATAGTGCACATACAGGACAAAGGCGAGTAGCCTTCGGAATGCAAATCTCACATGCCCTTTTCATGCATATCTTACATTCCTCAATTTTGCTGGGGTCAGGAATATCCCGATCACACATCCGACATTTCTTATCAGGAGGATCGGGGCCACGCATGGTCGGCGGTTCAAGGCCTGAAGGATCCTTCGGCCTTGCACCGTTAGGATCAAAACCTGGATAATACCCGGTTTCACGTTTATCCAGGGGCACGGATTTCGTTGCCTTCGGAGGACTCTGAAGGTCAGCCGCGTTAGGTTGAACCCCGGTTGGAGTGTCGCGGAATCTGTCAACGGGTGGCCGCAGAGGCGGCGAGTACGACCGCGTCGGGTTCGTCTCAGGTACGCCTCCAGGCGATCTATTCCTGACACGGTTACCATCGGGATCCCTTCTTCTCCTAGTTTCATCTCTGAGGCACGCAAGACAACAGGGACCCTGGACAAATCCAAATCTCCTGTAGTCATCCTGCCCAGCAGAATGTCTGGTGCAGTAGTATGTCTTGCAAAACTGACACTCAATTCCCTTGGTCAGGAACGAGCTCTCCCTACAGACACCGCATCGGGGTCCGTTACGGGAACATTCTTCACACAAGTTCTCCTTGAACAAGAAACAATACTCACAAATATCACCTCTGCATCCTTTGCAGTGAAACTCGGCCATGAGGTGATTATAACCATCACCTACGTATTTACATCTGGGTTTACCAGGGTCGCCAGGGTTCCCACCGGCGGCACTCTTCTTCCCCCCTCCTCCTGGGCTTTGCCGATCTGGAGGAGGAGGTGGTGGAGGATCATCATCAGGAGGGCCAGGTGGAGGTGGCCGCTTATCCGGAGTACGGGACGCGGCACGCCTTCCTCCTGTGCGATCGTACAATCCACTACTTGATGCCTGATTCGAGTGCCTTGACTCGAGGGAGTTAATTCTCTGGGCCGTATTACCCAGCACCTCGAGCATTTGCTCGAGCTTACTGTTGAGCGTAGTCGAAACGGCCATGTTATGAGTATTTTGCTTGTCCGTGTAGGACTTGCAGTCCCTCGACTTTATCTCAAGGTTGGCTTGTGTCTCATAAAGTTGGTCTTTAACCCACTTTATGCCGTCCCTATTATTGGTCCAGCGTTGTTCGACATCTTGCATCATCCTATCAATCTGACATACCCTAGTGGACAGGTCCTCGATTTTGAGGTTTACTCCACCAATCGCAGGATGGTTGGATTGGCTCTCCACTAGAGATCTCTCGATCATATCAACACGAGCTATAAGCCCGGTCACTCGATCAGAGAGAGATTCAAAAACAGTTTGAACCTGGGTGATGGAGCGAGCAACATCATCATAGCTGGCTCGCTCATTTAGGGCATCGCCTATGCTTATCATGCGATTGGAAACGATCTTGACGCGTTGGCCAAGCTCGGTCACGATGTCCTTAGTCCCTTGTGATAGCTGCATGGCCGCGCTCGCAGCCTGCGTACACGTGCTACTCACATGGACGCATTGTTCGTATTTGGCCCTCCACGAGTTAACCTCAGTGGAGAGCTGTTTGATGCGTTGATCACTTCTACCATTCCTACGCCCAAGGTCTTCGACCTTAGCAACCAGGCGATGAAGGATCGCACTTACCGAAGAATCCACTCTCCCTCTTTCAAGGGCTGTTACAAGATCAGCAACCTCGTTGGGTTGCTCCTCACTCGCAGGACCAAATCCTGATCCGCGATTTCGAGGAGTGGACAAATCAACCATGATTGGATTAGATCTCGGAGGAGTTCTGAAATCATCCTGGACGGCCGTTGATGGCCGTGGGAACTCACTCCGATTAGGAGATTGACTCTGATACGGAGCAGATCTCCTAGCATCACGAACCGCAGAGGGTTGTGTCATGCCCAGGCCTTTGGCCACGGACAGTTTGGGAACAACAGGCCTATCCGTTCGCATAGGAACATCAGGTCTCGAGTCAGCAATAACAATGTCATTCAAGTCGGTCGCATTGGACACTCTAGACTCAGACATCGATTCAATATCAGTTCCATTACTGATGGTATGATTGCGACTAGAACTTGATGCCATCATGGACTCAGATTCTATCGGAACATTAGCTCCGTCCATATTGTCCAGAGCGAAAATGGAAGCCGCGTTGGGCGTAGGGCGAACATCTTGTGCGTTCAAGCCACTTGACCTATTAAATTCCTCCTGAAATGCTTCGATCCCATCGAGCACGTTAACGAGTGTGTCCGCGTTTAACGGGTCTCTTCCAATGATTGACGCTGGGTCACCTGATCGGCCGCGTCCAGAGTCCCGCGCGCTGGGGTTACCCCTGTGAGCAGTTTCCCGATCCATCCCCCTTGCCCTATGCGATCCAGTCGAATTTGACCTTGATCGTTTGCTTGGGGTTGGGCTGGGATGCAAATCCAATCTATCTACGATATTACGCTCCCTAGGGCTCTCAAATCCTGAGAGTCCTGGGGGAGGGGACATGTTCCTCATGGTCGGGTTTACCGACGGCCTCGGCCTGACGTTACGGTTGGCCACGTCAGGATTGAGATTCTCAATTGACAAAGGTAGCATGAATTCGTCGCTTCCAGCAGCTCGTTTTGGGCTTTGGAAATGCGGGAAAGATGACGGGGCAGGTGGCCCTGGCATCCATGAGGCAAAATCCATACCAAAAATGTTTCCGTCGTTGGGCCATGAGGCTCTCCAATCGAGCCCACCGGATTCGGTCGGCAGATGAACGTCAAATGCAACTCCACTGGATGTACCAGGTTCGGGACTACCGAGCGCTTGAAAAACTATACTACTGGTTGGCACAGGTCTACTGCTACTTTGAGAGTCACGAAACTCGGACTGACCAATATTCATCAGCTCCGGGAAAGATGAGGATTGAGCTCCAGGTACAATACCGGGCTCGTCATCATCACGTCCTGAGACGAAATCATCATGGTCAGGACGATTAGCCCCATGACCCTGAGAGCGATTAGCTCTTGAGGCATTAGACGACAAGTCATCAGTGCGAGTAGCACTGGACCTTCCTGAAGGCATTGCTTCTGAAAAAGAGTGGTCCGACAAAAAGTCAGGACCGGAACACATCGGCTGTCCGGGCACTTGGTCGTCATTCACAACATCCAAGATTCCGGCCTGGCCGAGAACCCACTCATCGGTTACCACATGAGGTCCATCCTCGGTGATTCCCGCCATGAGTCCTACAGTAGCCTATGGAAAACGGCGCCTGCAGGGTTGTTATTAAATGGGGTTCGCGGTGCCAACCGAGGACGAATCCTACGGCTGATAACCTGCGAAAGGGTTTGAAACAGAGTTTCGGGAGAGAATAAACAGGCCCAATCCCACCAACAAGAAGAGATTGTTTAAGTCCCCCAGTCCCAAGGGCAAAGCGGTGCCCTCGGCTGGCACAACAAACGAACCAAAACAGGGTGCCTTTAACCAAAAGATGAATAAGCCCAGCAAGGGCAGAGACGACCAAAAGCAAGCACGAAGCAGCAAACCAGGCAGGCAAACAAAGCGAAGCGCAAAGCAAACCAAATGCAGCACCCTCCCAAACCCGTGTCCTGACCCACCTCCACGGCCAAACCACAACCGCGGCCTCCCAGCAACGCGCACCTTTTGCGCGATGATGGGCGCCGCGCCGTTGAAAGGCGCCGTGACGAGTATGGCAAGTGTGGGTTCGCCAGAGGGAAAACTTGAGCCAAATGGCGCATTGGCCATGGCAATAATCAAACATGCTATGATAAACGTGCATGCCCCCAAAAACAGAAACGATCCAGAAGCAAAAGCTCAAAATTGAGCTTCCTAAGCATGCAAATTGTCTGCAAACGTTCCAAGTTCGTTTTCAAGGCTAAGTTTGGAGAATCTCTTCCTCATGTACCATTCATCCAACACACCCCGTACCGTATCAATGACAGTTAGAATCTATTTTGCCACCACCCCAAAAACAATACCCTGAAGGAAAGAATGTGGTTGCAACATAGACCCTAAACCATCCAGCAACCACCAAGTTTGGAGAACCTCTTCCCTATGGACATGGTTCTTCAGGTATAAATCATCTATATATATATATATACACTATAAATATAGATATAGATATCAAAGGAACCTCCCCCCCCGAAACTCCCTCCCTCCCAGCCCAACCTTGGAGGCTCCCATCAGCCGTTCGCAGCAAATCAGGAACTCCGGGGCCGTCAGGGAGCCGTCGCCATCTCCTTGGACACCGGTCTGTGGAACTTGTCAGTTCCGGTGGATTCACCGACAAAGGAGAAACATACTGTGGATGGCCGACCTCCTCTTAGGCACCAGCTAAAAAAAAACCTGGGGTGATGCTTCCCTGGTTTCAAAGTGGTGCACTGACAAGTAAGAAACATCATTTACTTCCTCTATTTGCTTCAGTCTTCCAGGAAACATATGTTTCCAATAGTGGTAGGTTCCCCTTAAAACCACTGACAAGTGAGACACATTCTAGGGGGACCTTCCATTTCCATTCTTTCTAGGCATCCTGCTTTCTACAAAACCCCCCAAAACCCTAGGGAAACAGCGATCGGTTTTTGAAAAGAAGGATGGTTGAAAAGAATGGGGAGTCAACCCCTAGAAACATACTGTGGGTGGACGAAATCTTTCGCACCACTTTGAAAAACCATAGCAAATCATTTTGTGGGTGTTTACAGGGGAAGCATCACTCCAGGGTTTTTGGGTGGTGCAGGATTTCGTCCATCCACAGTATGTCTTGTGTCTTTTTTTGAGGATTCCACTGTTGGAGCAGTTTTGAAGGGAAACCAAAAGGAACACCACCAATTCTGGGGGTCCAACCCTAAAACAGACACACCCACACATAAATCCAAACAGCTTGGCGTTGGCGTTTTGGAGTCCGAAATGGGCCCAAGTTGAACCACGCGTGTCCAGGGATGGCCGGTGACTCCCACGGCCCCGTTGCCAGCGAGTGGTCCCCAAAACGCCCCACGCAAGCCAACGGGCCCCAAGGCCGCGGGGACCCCTTGGGCAACTTTCAAGCGTCCATGGAATGCAATGCAAAGAGTGACAAAATAAGGGCCCCTTTTCTTGAGGGGTGTTTGGGGGGGGTTTGGGGGGGGCGGTTGGGGGGGGGGGGGTATGATGCATTGACAATCCCTGAAAGTCAAACTGCTTGCTGGGCCTATATAGTAGCTTCATGATTTTACCATCAGTCACCCAAGTGGCGGGTTGAAATGGAAATAACCAATTTTCTGACTTTGATAACCCCCATAAACCGTCAAAATAATGACCCCAGATATATGAAAGTCAAAGTGATTGCTGGTTGGAAGGGGCAATCGATGAACGCAGGTGCTTGATTCTACTTCTCGCTCCCGAAAGCCCCTCATTCGTGCTGATAAGTTCTGGGTTGCTAGGATGGGCGGGGGATTCCTACGATTGCAAGGGTATGGTCCTGACTTTTCGCGATTCCAGCCCTCTGTGATACCTGGCTACTATGCAGCTACCTCAAAGTACATGTAAATGTAGTATTGTTGAACTGGGTCGCTCTTCCCTCTAACCTTTGTACGTTTGATGGAAAGCCATTTGCCTCTAGGTCTAAGGGGCTCCGGCTATACCAAGGACCGGTCACATGGCATCCAACGTCCCAGGCCCAGGTTAAGCACTGGCTCAAAAGGACCTGTGCTTCGCCGAGCAGCGGTCGATCATTGCGAATACATGTGTGGGATCTTCGGTGTGCGCATTGATCAGGTCCAAGAACTTCTGCATACCTCGCAACTCGCCGCTGGAACGGGCATCAAAACCCGAAGGAATTCTTACTGACCCGCGGTGTCCAAGCAAATGGGAGGAGGAGAGGAGTTGTGGCCCAGACCACGGAAGCAGTGCATGAGCGAAAATAGTGGCCAACACATTCTCAAGGTCAGGGACCATTACGTTTCAGGGTTGGTTCCTGACTTCCTGGTTCCTTAGCCCGCACGCCAAAGGAGAAAACTCTCAATTATACCTGGAGCCTAAGGGTTCTGCTAAAAGCTAGGGGAATTATACACCTTGGTCCTCAAAGAACTCAGGGAGACCCTTCTCCATGGCCAAGCAATGGTTGATCCTGCCCCATCGTCCTATTAGAGGGTTCTTCCCGTCCAAAAGTGACGAACCCCCACTAAACCTTGGGACACCTCAGTATTAGTAGGACGGGCTTATTAATCCGGGGTGGGCCGTATTTGTCGTGGCTGGACCTATGCTGGACCTCTGTTTGGTTGGCGGGACGGAAGCAACAAACACGTGGCTTTCTATAAACACAATGAGCCGAAGCTTAGCCAGCAAGGACTGTATGTCGCGATGGGCATGTGTATGAAGCTGAAAGTCAACCATCTTTTTGGGTGTTCAAACATGGGCAAACATCATCTTTGAGGCCATTCAATTTGAGCTTGCTCTTGAAAGTGTAAAGGCTCAAACACTTGGATTGCAAGGGGCCCAAACAAGTCAACTTGTTTGATTGTTAAGCACCAACATGGTCTTCCCAAAAAGTATGGCGAAGGCATATCCGCATATCCCCACAGCAAGTGCAGTCATCAGCCCCCATTGTTATACACTACATCACTATGCTCTGCTTATCCAGGGAAATGATGGGAGATGTGAAAAGGGCACCATACGTTGGGTTTCCGCTAAGGAGGTTGTAGGAAGACTTCTGGGGGACCCATCCACAACGAGGTGTGAACAAAGCTGTCAGCTCTAACAACCGGACTCTGGCACGCCACGGAGAAAAAGCAAACGCTAGATGTTCAACCTTTCAAGATAGCCCATTGGCACCCATTTGCCCAGACCCCGGTGACTTGAGCCGGCATATCGCTTAGCTCCCTTACAACCAAAGGACCTGGAAATTCAATGCCATCACCCTAACGTTGACTGTCGAAGGCTCGTTTTACCGAGCCCGTGCATCACGCTACAAGTATGGCCCTTTTCTTGTTGCGCGCTGTGGCCGGCACCCAATAGCCACAATCAATGGGTATGCTCATACATCAGCGAATTGTATCAGCAGTTCATGTATGGGCGATTTTGTGCTCTACCTTCAATGCACTCAATCCAAAGCAAATTGATTATGTGCTGTTCCAGCTAAACCGCCCACTTGCTGTGCCACTCTATCTAAGCAACTCACCTACTGAGTACCTGACTAAAGGAGCGGTAACCAAGCAGTTCAGTGGCAGCTTTCCTTGAACTAGGGACAAATGACTTAGCATCTTACCATTGTTTGCAAGTGGAAGTTAGGGAATCCCTGTTGAAAGAGCATCGCCTTGAGCGAGCTCGTTTTACCCCTAGGTTAGCCCGCTATCATTCATTCAGGCATCCCAATCGTGAAGCCTGCAACCAAGCTCAGGCGCTTTTGAGTGAATCCTTGCGACCCCGAAATGCCAAATGCACCCTGTGAACACGTTGCTGCTTCTAATTTTCGCCACTTGCCCCGTTTGCGACGCCGCACTGGCACCCTCGCGACTCGAAGTGCGGGAGTGCTCGTCGGTTGCCACCCGCTCCCAACACCGACCAAACCGCGTTGAGACAAACGAGAGAAAAAGGGCGGCGGTTTCGGCGGCTTTGGAATAAACAACCACAAGGATCAAGGCAGAAGCTTCACCTTCCGAAGCATCCCAAGAAGTCAGCCCACTTGTTGAATGCCGATGAAGTGGTCCAAACCAACTGGTCGAAAGCATGTACCCCCCCGGTGAAGATCAAAAAATAATTAGCTGGCGAATGGAGGTTCATCCACCCCATGGGATCGCAGGTCATGCAGCCCACATGACGAAAGTCCAAAACGGAACCTCGGGCGAGAAAAAAGATCACGGGCGGTGGAAAGTCCAGGCGGAGTTGCTTGCTTCTCCGTAGGTCCCTATGAACTGCTCTTTGGTGACGACCTTCTGCTGGGAAGCTTCCTGGGAGGTTCGCGTGTGAGCACCGGGGCTCACAAAAAGAAACATGGCGTGATTTGCAGAGACTCCTTCTGGAAAAGGTAAAGGCTCCAAATGTGGGAAAGGTTGCCGTGCACCAAAACATGTTTGCGCTGCTTCTTATGCCACTTCCAGCGGATACCAGTTGCGCCAGCTACGCCAATGGTAGAGAATCAGAGATAACCAAGGCTTCCGCCTCTGGATGCTGAATGGTTTCTCTTGGAAAAGTACTACATAATATCCCCGTCCCATGAAGCGTGGATTGGTTGATTGGTTTTGGAGGGGCCGCAAATCACAAGTTTCTATTTGGAGGGGGGGGGTGCCAAATTGCACGCCCACCACATGGCCCACACTGGGTTGCAGCTTGCTGCGACTCCACTGAAGCAAACAACTTTGGTGCGAGATTGGTTTGTGTAACTACAAACAGCATGAAACCGCTGGACAATAAAATGGGGCAGCGCTACGCATTGCGTGTGTTGTCTTGTCGTTGTTAGTTTTGACCTCTCTGTCTTGGGGGGGGGGGGAGGGACGAACTGCAACTTGCGTCTATTGCCCTTCTTCCCCCCCCCGGCCTCCTCGACACCCAAAAATCTAACAATTGCCGGGTTTTTTGGGGAAGCACCGGACTCAGGACAAACCGGTTAGGTTGTCTGGCGGGACATGAATTGCCACGGTGTGGCGCAGGCCAAGGCAAGCTTCAGAGGTGTAGTGCAGTTCAACAAAGGGTTCCGGAGGTTGGCCAGGTGTCGGGCCCAAAACAAGCCCTCCAAGTTACATGGGTGGTCAAAATCAAGCCACCCAGAATCGGACCGGAGGTTTTAGTCTTTTCCATTTTCCAGGGCTTGCGCCATTTTGGGGTTATCCTATTTTTGACAACCACAGCCACATGAAGCCTGGAGCTATCTGTCAAAAAATTGGGCAGTAGGGGCGGATGGCCATGTGTGATCAAAGGCTTACCCTCCCAACAAAGATGGGTATGCGATAAAAATAGGGGAACCCCTAAAATTCGTGTTTGTCCTGTTGGTTTTCCTTTAACCAACCTCAAAAAGGGTATATCCCCTCAAAAAACCGACGCACCCAAATGGCTTGGGTGTGCGCGTGTACGTCCAAAGTGCGCCTGTGCATCATGTTTATTGGTGGGAGTTTGGTAGAGCTGTTCTTAATGTCAAGAACGCCGACTGTTTCAAACAAACAACGCCTTGTTTACTTCAACACGCTTGACCCGTGAGCTCCAGGCATCAGGGCATCCCTCTTTGATCTTCGTGCCATCGTGCTTGATTGCTTTACATGCCGTCTGTCATGTTGGCATCGAAGCTCGTCTTTGTTGTGGGCCATGGTGTCAACACCAATGCCCTGCTAGCTTCCCCAGCCCATCCTTCTTTCTAGATGAACATGATGGGTGGATCGACGCCTAGAAATGTGTATGCGATGCAAAATCGCGACAAACAGCTTTCTGCCAACGTAAGTGTAAATCGGGATTGGCTGTGCATAGTGGCCACACGAAAATCCCGATTCTAGCTGGCCAGCCGTCGGGCTCGCAACCCTAATTACTTGATGCACCATGTAGAAGAAGACTTGGGTGCTGTAGATCACCCAGCAAAAAGTTTAACTTTTTGCTGGTTAAACGGAAACATGAGGGGAACCAGAAAAGTCACAGCCTAAAGATCCAACCCAATAACAGTAGAGAAGAGGCAGTGCCGCAGGTCGGAAAGAAGCAAACATGCTGCCAGGCAGCATCAAACGTGGCATGGCTGTCCAGCAGGCCCCACAAAGAGTCCAATACTTCCTGGGCACAAGTGGCAACAAGCAAAGCAAACAAACAACAGCAACACAAACACAACTGGCGGCGGCACCAGCAGCAAGAACCGCAACAACAGGAGCACGAGCATGAACACAATCAACGGAAATGCACATAAGAAGAACAACAATGATAAGAAGAAACATGACATCAACCTTATCCCGTACTGTACTCCATGGCTACAACATCGGTGCGAACAACCCCTGCTCACCTATGTGTCCGAGACTCCTAACACCCTTCCATGCCCAAGTGTCTCGCCCATGGATCAATCTCGTTTCACACTCGTTATGGTGATCCTCCGAGGGGTCCTCAGACCCCGCCTTTGAACCAAAAGAAGCACAACGAACACCGGAGTATGTACTTCAATTTGCTCAAGTCCCTGGAAAAATCATAAACACATGTTCTGTAGTACAGTAGCGCCAACAGAGGACATACAACACATTCTGAAACGCAACTGGACGTATCATCCCTCTTATCATCACCGGGATGGGGTGGGGGGCCACCCAATGGCATTCATTCTGTCTTCCCCATAAAAGGGAACACACACACACACACATATATATATATATATGTCATCCCCCTCCCCCAATTCCATTTTTGGTTTTGGGGAGTCCAACCTAAAAACGCCACACTCCCATGGCCCTGTTTCACTGGGCTGTCCGTTTTCAGTTCCCCTGCTCAAAGTTTCAAACTTTTAGTGGGCTTCGCGGGAAACTACCACTAAACTAAACCCAAAAGATGCTAAAAGCTTTAGGGTATGGGAACCACCAAGTTCAGCTTTCGTGCTCCCATGATTAGAGTTAGGCCCAGCTATAGACTGTATATTCTATTGCTTGCTTCACTTTGAGTCACTTGTAAAATGTATCCTAAGTCTACCCCAGTTCCGGACTCGGTTTTCCTCCAAGGCGCCGGACACCCCCCCCCCCGCCCACGCGACGGCCCCGGTCGCTCGCCTGCGTCTCCGCCTTGGCGGCGATCTTCATCGCCTCGGTTTTCGCGGTGCGCTCGCGATGGAGGGGCGCAGGCCACGGGCCACGGTGCTCAGCCAGGAAAGGCTGGGAATGAAGCGATTGATCTAGGGGTGGATTCATCTGCCATTCTTTTCAATTTTTAAATGGTTCTTAAACAAAAAAAACGGAGCTGTTTCCCCTGGGATTCTGCTGGTTTCTGGGATTCATAGGTGGCCTTTTGGAATAATAAAAATGGCCCTGGCAAATGGACGAACGCCCATCTAAACCAGTGGAACATAGTGGAACCCACCTATGTTTAACCAAACTAACATATAAAGGACACCTATGCTGGGAAATGAACCGATGGAGATCACCTTGAAACTTTGGTCTACTTGGGTTTTCTGGACCGTGTGGATTTTGTATATATATATATATGTATTCAAACATGTTCAGTAGTGACAGATTCCCTTGAAGACTAGGGAACAAGAAGAACACACAGGTTTCACCAAAAGTGAACAAACATTCGCACGGTTTGGGGCCATTTGACCAAGACACACAATGAAACTGGAGGCTACTTACGGGCAAAGCGAGGCGCGTGCGGGATTCCCTTTGATTCCTGGAAATCACAATTTCACCTTTGAAGGTCAAAGGCTCATGTTTAGCAACTCCCGCCATGTGGCTAGGCCGCGCATTCTTCAAGGGCACTGAAGTGCCCTGTGAGCGAAAAAGCATGTAAGAAACGCACCTTTGCCTCCATAGCCAAAACTCCAGAAGTGGTTCATGGGGTTCATGGCCTTTGCTTCTTTTGGATCTAATGAGGTTGATGGCCATGACAACCCCAGGTGTATACGGGTTGTGGTTTGATCGTGTCACAAGCTGATGATTATGCATTACTGGCAGGAGGATGGCAACACTTTGCGACAGAAAACATCCAGTGCCGTGAGCACAGCAAATAAGCAAGAGCTATCATGTCTTAGGCAAGGTTCTTAGAGCCTTCTTCATTGGTTTCTTTGAAGGGCTTTTTCCCAACCTGTCTGTAGGGTCGGGTGCCTCAAGGTCTCTGCTTTGCTTCAGGTGCCGTGCTTGCCGTGCAGAATCACCACCACTTCAAAACCAACAGGGGCAGATGACATAAGCGCAAAGGGAACTAGGTCCTGCAGTAGAGAGGTTAGAATAAGAGTACCCTTTCTTTTTTCCGTGGTCTAATTTGGTAGGGGAACCGAATCTCCCAACCAAACAAGGGCTGAGAAAGGTTGCACCGAGCTGGAGGGCCGAGGGAAGCACCAAGCCGTCTAAGCTTCCAGCGCTGTCCACGAAGCATGCAGTGATGATATTCATCATGGCGAAGAGCTCAAAGCCTGACAGAGGATAGCCCTCTCTGAAGCTCCCATTTGGTTAAGACCCCTGGAAAAAAAAGTCCAGCAGTGATAGATTCCCTTTAAAACCAACAGGGGAAAATAACACATATTCTTAAGCAAATGGAAGGCGCCCGGGTTCTAAGTTTGGCACCTGGCCTTCCACAGCAACATGGAGGTTGTGTTCCAGGCATGGGGCTCTTGAAATGTTCCGTGGGCTTGTGTCGCACCCAGCTGATTAGTGCGCCACTTGTGTGCATTATCCGACTTATTCACTTGCTGCCCCATAGAAAAAATGAGTACGTCACCTTCGCCTTCACATACTGGCCATATATGACCTAGAATAATCCAGGTTCAGTTAAATTTTGCTGATTTCGGGTTGGTTTAGCGGTACTTTGGAAGGGATTGGGATTTGTTGCAGCGGGTTTATCGCAACAAACCTAACACCGAGCCTAAACTAATCCCACACCAACCTTAAACCAAGACCTTAGATCCAGCCTACGCTTAAGCCTTAGCCCGTGCAAAGCAAACCCAGAACTCACCCTGAGCCCACCCCAATAAAAGAGCCTGCTGACAATGATTGGGGATCAACCGTAGCACTTAAACCCTCATAGGCCACACCTGAAACCTATTGAAAATGAACAAGCAGGGTGCGCAACTCGCACAAGTCCGTCTGTCCTTGGAGAAAAAAAATCTTCGGGAACCATCAGCAACCCCGGCAAATCGATTCCCGCCCCGCAGAAACCCGCCGAACCCGTCGCAGAAGCTGAGCTTCGAGCTCCGCCCCCCCGGCCGGTCCCGGAGTCCCCCCCCTCCGACCTGTGAAGGCCACAAAGACAATGCGCACCCATCTGCCCATATTCTCCTCCAATGGCTCCATGAGCTCGCTCCTCAGTGCATTTCTCAGGCCAGAAATGGAATCCCCTAGGCCTATATAACTAATCCAACATCCGCGGCACTGGTGTATGGAGTAAGGCAACTGACTTGGAACAACCCAGCCTTCAATCGGGCTTGCCAGAAACTGCTGTTCGAAAAATTGGGGCCGTTGTCTGACCCGGAGATCGCTGCATCTATGAGTGGACCTTCCCTTAGGCCCTTGCTTCCCAGGTTGCCCCCCTTATACAAGACATACATTCACACAATTTAGACAAGTCATATATTCATACACTCGCCCCTTCGGGAATAAAGGGTATGACCGCCCATTTCAATCACAGGACATGTCAATAGTCAGCCATTTGAAAAGGAATAGGCGTTTGAAGCACCCCTCCCAAAGTGAATTTTGTTTTGCATTCACTGCAAATGACGGCCATGAGGCGTTGATCTAGAATCTAGCAACACACCTTGGGGCACGCGCGGCTGATTACAGCAGAGCTTGCCGGGCCGAGCAGGATTCAGCTTGTGGCTTTGACTTGTTCTTGGTTTCTTTCTTTTTTGCAGAGCCCTACCAACGCAAGGTGTAAAGTTGGTTCATTCTACTGGTAGGGCAGGGGTCCCAACTAGAAAGCCTATGGCAACTCCAAACATTGCTGAAGCAAAGCCCCAATTGACATAGCCCAATTAGTCAGTTGCCCAAAGGCGCAGGAACAAAAGGTTCACCTTTTGGTGCCATGACTCCAATTGGACCACAACATGAAAACTAAGTCACAAGGTCGATTCGCTTTGGACGAAGATTCGTCACTGCAATGGCTGCCTTGAAAAGCGGGGACCCCAGAAAAGGGAACCCTTTTTTGGGGTTGACCATTTTCTTACCCTGGGGAAGTTAATCTTTTACAGACAGATAGCCCATGTTACCCCCAAAAAGTTGAAAAGTTGTGGTTTTAAGAGGTAAGTTTTGAGTGGGGGACAACTCACTTGAGGAGCGGGTGAACGAAAGCTAGCAGTTGTTGTATGAGATGGGTCGGTGACAGAGTGGATTCATGGGTAGCTTGTGTACAACGAGAGGCCCGGCAAGATTCGTAGGATGCGACACGCAAACGCACATGGTGGCGTGGCAAACCTTGAAAAATGAAAACAACGAGAGGCGTCAGAAGCTGTCTTAAAGCACCTCTGGGTTCTGCATGCTGCGTGTGCAAAGATTCTTGCGAGGTGGTTTACCGAGAAGACTGAGGTCTCAAATGAACAAGCTGAATC